GCCGTCTCCACAGCCATCTCAGTTCCGACAAAAGTTTCCATACCTGACTTCGAGCGGAGTGGATTTGCTCATGTCGATGCTCACCTACGATCCAGACCGCCGGATAACAGCTGAGGAGGCGTTGCAGCATCCGTACTTCACGTATGAATCTGCCGGCGCTCGTCTTGTCGCATCCCCGCTGATGGTTCCGAAATAGCGAATCGCCGTTTCCTAAGCATCCTGACCTCTTCGGCTCTTTCCCCTCTGCTGCCGCTGGTGAAAAGTCGAGTTCACAATGCTTTTCCTTCTGTACCATGATTCTCAGGTTGGTCTCAGAAAACGCAAGCCGTTCAGTCCGTCGGCGCCTGCGAGAGCTGCCGACTACAAACTTCTCATGGATTTCGATGTGCCGTGAGCTCGTTTAATTGCCCTCCTACTGTCTTGTTTCTGACGCGAATGCTTTCTCAAGCGATGGATTGTAGAATTTGGAATCTATTCAGGTGCTCGTACTTCCTGTTCAAAACACTTGATCAATCCATCTCGGTTGGCTCCGACAGCCCAGCTCATTCCGTCGACTTGCTTGCTGCTGTCAAAGAAGGGCTGGACACAAGTCTTTGCCATGGCATCAAACAGGTCTGATAAGATCCAAGATAATCTGGGGCCAGTCAGCTCAATGGCAGGCTCCGCGTTGATTTCCAGCAAGGACACATTGATTCGCGAGTCCGCTTCTGAATCGTCAGTGACCATGAAATCCACACCAAATAGCTCGAATGCATTTGGCAGAGGCTGTCCGAGGATTGAGGTGCCTGTCACAAAGGATGGTTTTGCTTCCGCACCTGGAAATGGTTGGGATTCTCCAGGGCGGCCTGTAAGAGGGTAAAAATGGGGATAACGGTACTCCTGCGTCGGAATATGGCGACTTGTACCTTGAAAGTCTCTCGCAACACAACAACCATCTGCTCGATGATTTGGCTCATGTCCTTTGCCGTGAAGGGTCTAGTTGACCCTGACAGAATGTGACAGGTTTCAAGTTCTCGGAACAGTCTGACTCCGTCCTCTCCTCGGTGTGTTTGGAGAGATGTATTCGTCAAATGCGCGGAAAGATCGAGAGGTTCAGGGTCCCCGTCTTGATCTGATCGAACAACGGGTGTCGAATATGGTACGGCAGAGAACAGAGCCAATATTTTGTCGAAGAGATAGACTTGCAGGGCCCCAGATGCAACACAATAAGCTCGGAGATGGAACTAACTCGAATGAATGAGTTTCTGCAATTGGTACATATTGTCGGCAAACTTTATGACCCCGAAGTTGATCGAGACAGGGTTTGGGGGAGCCATCCAGGGTGCATTCAGCAGGATCAAAGAGTAGCGGGTTGGCCAAATATTCCTTTTGCGCATTGAGATGAGTCGATCGGTCTATACGGTCTCGTTATCACCTGGATTACAAAGTGGCGAAGCTGAGAAGTAACCACGGCGGTGGAATCGTCGGCCTGATCCTCGTCGTCATCAGATTCTTCGAATTCTTGGAAGATCGCTTCCAACGCAGCAACGCTATTGAACATTCGGATACCATTCCCCCGATCTGCCATCCCACTATACCCGCTGAGAAGCTGACGATACCTGATAAGCAACGCACGGTTTAAGGATCCACCACTTCTTGGCTTCCAGTTCTTTGCCAAGTTCCCAAAGATCGTCTACCAACAGCTCCTCCAGCTCATCTGCGAACGAGATCTCGATTTCAAAGGTCTTGGGTACAGCTTGGACGACGGGTGACTCGGGGTGTTTAGTTGTGTATGAGTGTAAACAGCGCGACAGAAAGTGTTTTCTGATGAGGGCCTTCCGGAAGGTATAGCTCGAGGAGAGCACCGCGCTTCTTTTCAAATGCACCGATTCATGGTCAATATCGTCGTAAGTCGACCAGAACAGGATTGGCCCATCGCCCTCGGGCACTTCGTCGACAATCGAGTTGGAAAAATCGAGCGATTTCAGAGCATGTAGCACGAGCGATTTCGTCACAGGAGCGGAAGGCCAGGACACGACGGCTTGGAACATGCCGAACGGGGACAAAAAGTTATCTGTAATCTAAACGCCGAAACATCCGATCAAGTGTCGTTGACAACTCAAGACCTGATTTGGTAATCACTTTGATTGCCGAGGAGGAGCGAAGCCTGGCCGAAGTGCAAGTTTATCACAGACCCACTCTTGGTAGCAACCCAATTCTCGCCCGCCCATACTCGCGGCATTGCAGTCCTCTGGATCTCGCAATGGGCGTCAGCAGCGTGTTCTCCCTCCAGCCCACATTCACACAAGGCCTGATCATCGGACAACTGTCAATTCTCATCCTTCTTGCATTCATTCTCAAATACCTCTTCCTTGACTCCCCACAAAATCCTTTCCAAACGTCACACTACAACGACCACCGGTTTGATGCCCATCGGCCCGTTCGAAAACAAAACCTCTCTTCGACAGGCGGCGTGGAAGACAGAGAAGGGATCGAGTCTGCAGAATGGTTTAATATGTTGATGCACCAGGTGCGCTGGGCCGTTCATGACCGCGTCTTCGCGCGTAAAATTATACCAAGGTTACCGACATTTACCGTGCCAAACTGAGGAATGGGTTCTCGGGGCTAGACGGCGACGACCATGCGCGAGTGCACGTCGAAAACTACGCGAATAAGATGCGCCCGCAAGGATTTTTGGTCAGTTGTGTTCTCGAGTGCCATCATGCTTTGCGTCTCAATCATATCCAGGACTACATAGAAGTCAAGTGGGTCGACTTGGGTGTTTCTGCCCCACGGCTTTCCAACGCTCGTATAAAACGCCAAAAATGTTCCGAACCGCTTTCGGTGCGAGCTTGCATGGATTTCTTGGACCAATCGTAACCCCATCAATAGGAAGTCGAGTTTGAGGTGTCGTATACCGACACGGTCTCTCTGGAGATATCTACATCGTATCTGGTCAACTACCCGATGCCTGCCTTTGCTCGATTACCCATCTCGTTAACCATCTCTCTTTCGCAATTCAAGGCCTCGGTAAGTCATGCGCTATCCCGAAAAAGTTGGATACTCAACCAATGTAGATGGTTGTGACGCCGCCTTCACCTTCAGCCGAATCTCCGGCAGTTACCCTCACTCTCTTACCGAACTTCACGCTGGACTTGACCACAACGTCGCGGATGGGCAGTCGTGTGGAACTGGTCAACGTTCCGAAATTGCATGAGCTGATTCAGCATCAAGTACATCGGTCCCTTGCCTCCCAAAAACCATGGCGAGTGGTCCTCCCCGGGCTGTCCACTGCCACGGAAGTCCGACATGCTTTGAAGGAAGTGCAAGTCAATCCAGCATAACAGTCCGTTGGACCTGTAATTTATCTGTATTAAGCTCATAGTAATCACTGCTTTTGTATTATTGTTGACTCAAATGCCCAACTCGTCCATCCAGAGCTCCATCTTCGACACGGCATCTGAACTCTCCAAGTCTTCGCACACTAACAAGCTCACATTGGGATCCTGCGAAAGGCGATTGGAGTTCTGGTTGAGATGCTCCAGGTGCATCTTCGAAGTCAAAAGGGCGATTGGGAATTTGGGTTCGAAATTGAACTCGGGGAACTCGGTGGGGAGCAACTTCGGCGAGACCTGAGCGTTGTTTGGCGGTATAGTGCCGGAAAGTATCATCGCAGAAACGGGATTAGACGAGATGTACGCTTGAGCTATCAGAGCAGCCGCAGAGCGGGCATACAGAACAGGCGGAAAGAAAGAGGCGTGCCCTGACAGTCGGAAAGAGGTCTTGAGGTCTAAGGTTATCGCCGTCAATGTCGTGTGATGAGAGCTCGACCCTTGATCACCGTTCATGAAGTGCTTGATCACCAAGCTTGAGTCATGCGCCGTGGAGGAATCAGGGCTGGACAAGTCGCAATGTACGCAGGTAAATCCTTTGCTGGAAAACATGGTCGTCAGAAGGTCGATCCTGGGCTGTTTTAGCACAGGCATAAGATCAGATGAGAGCTTGCCCTTGATGCGAGTCGGGATCCCAGTCTTGGGCTGACACGAAAAGCAGCGGCGTGGGGACTTCGCGAGGGCAAGATGGATCTGGCAGTCGGACTAAAGTTGAGGACAGACGAATCCGTCCGGCGAAGTAAAGAGCTCGTGCGTTTCTGAAGAACAACATTTATAAGCTTGGTGAGAGGTAGACACAATCGCAGCCCAGGATTGAGAAGAGTTGGAATGGACTCTGCCACAATTTTGCAGGGTGACCGAAATTATGGTTACCGAGGCTTCCGTCAACAGCAACTTTTGTTTGGTTCGACTAATTGTAACACGTGATCGCGCCTTTTCCCCTCACCATGACTGCCGTATCCTCTAGTGCAGTATTCAGCGACATCTTCACGATCAGCGCAATAGACAAAGAGGGAAAGAAGTTTGATCGAGGTGGGCGGGAAATCCAGTCGCTGGTCCTGTCTGGCACCTGAATACCATCGGCAGTTTCGCGACTATATGCACACTCAAAAAGCTACGACATGGATCTGACGCTAGACTACAACATCGAGCTATACCCACTTCAAAAAGACCAGACGTTCACGTTGACCCTGGCCTCCTCTCTAGCGAAAGAGCAGGCGAATGGAGCTGCGCCAGAACCTACGGACGATGACAAGGATAGAGATGTGTGGAGGCCAGATGGAAAGGGTCGACGTGGGCTGGAAGAGGACTACGACTACGTGATGTATGGAAAAGTATGTCGTCCATCTGTCTCTGCTTCAAATTCGAGAATCGTTGCAGGTTTATAAATTCGACAGCGGGACGAGCGAGATTGTGTGCGTCTGTCCATCTTCGCCTTCTGTAACACCATCTGACAATTGGACCAAAGCACAGCCTATGTATCCTTTGGTGGTCTCCTTCTCTCTTTGACTGGTTCGTTCCGCCACATGACCAACATCGTGCTGGGGGATCCGATCTACGTCTTATTAAGAAGTTGAGGACGCAGTCCTCGAATACACAAGCAGCTTTGAAAAGTAGAAATATGCTGAATTATATTGTACAGATGCACTCCTCGCCTCCAGTCGCCGTCCATTCAATTCGCTTTGAGACCGCGTAACTTGTGGATGGCCTCTGCCATATCTCCATCTTTCGTGCGATCGCTGAAGCTCCAGAATCGTCGTCCTTTCCCGTGACCTTAACATCAACATCCGCATCGGTGTCGAAGAAGGATGTGGGAAGGGCAGGCAAGACGATGTCCTGGTATCCCACGCCGAAAAATCGGGCTAGCTTGGCAGCACGGCGTCGCCTCTCTTGAAATGCAGAGTCTCGTGGGTCGTCGACGAAAGGGAGCGACAAGGTGGATGGGTCATCGTCCACTTCTCCCGGGATCGAAGTCGTTGAATCTGCCCGTTGTCTGAGAGGACCGGGTGCTGCTTCAGAAAGAGATCCCTCCTCGCGCTGGATCTGGAAAAGCTCCGAAGGTGGCTCTTGTCCAAAAAGCTGAGGGTGAGGGTTGAGTATGACCTGGTATGGAGAATGTTCAGCCTCACCTGCGCCATTTTACGCGCCCGTTTCACATTCAGAGTCCGCCTCCGTTGGGACACGGTAGATTTGCCAAAATTGAGATCGTAGCGCTCCTGAAATCCACCCGGCGCGTCGTCGATCGCGTCCTGAACCTGATTTCGTCCCCACATAGACCGGGATCGCCTGAGCTCCACACCTGTTGCTACGCTCCCGCGCGAGGTGAGCTCCAATGACTGACGGTGCAACCGCGGTTCCGGTGAGATGTTTCCCTCGAGCAGGTCTCGGCGCGCTCTCTTGCGCAGTCTTTCTGGTTCGGTCGGCACCTCGAGGCTCGTTGCAGGATCGATACCTGGCGCGTGACTCTCCATCGCGGCCGTTCCGTCCATATACTCCGCGCTTTACAGCGGGTCCCGAAAGCCTAGAGATACGCACGAGCGGTTGGCTCGGTGACCCAAATGGGAGGAGGAAGTGAGTATGAGTTTGAATGCTGCCGGAACCGGTAAGCGTACTGTCGAAGTCGAAGCGGAGAAAGAAGTGGGGCATAATCGCCAATCATTCGAAGCGCTGACAAGCCTGTAAACGAGGCTGCAGAAGTTGGATCCGAGACGGATGGGAACGATATTTACGACAGATCGCCATTCGCTGGCAATGGACCTCGACCATCGACGGCCACCTAGACTGGGGTGCTCGCGACTCAGTGACCTTGCCTTTCTTGCCTTTCTTCACAGGCCCGTGTCCATTGGCTTTGACGGGGGCCGCCGCAGTCGCTTAAAAGGTAAGCGAACTTAGATAAGAACGGAGCAGTAGCATAACGACGGGTGCCTCCCTGAAACGCGTCATCAAGATCGCTCAAGGCTCAAGATTTAGGAGGGCTCAAACTTCAGGGCCTTACAATGCTTTTTTGGAGGGTCTGAAATTTGAACAAACAGTCCTGGCTCCTAGATTGGCCGCCGGAATATCAATATGGTCCAGAATTTTCTGTATGAAGGGGCGATCATTGTCCTAAATCTTGCAATCTGCACAGGAAGATCATGAGGTAAGTCTAGCGCTGTCCAAGCCTGCTTGTGGGAACATTTGAGATGAAATCGACGGCAGAATTGGTGCTATGTGTGTAGATGTCTCTGTCTGACCAGGGCAAGTCTCTGTCGGTAATCGGAATGCTTGGCAATCGCAAAAAGCAAGTGCCCAGACCGCGGCACCCGCAGACCAACAGCTTCAAAGCAACATCTCAAAACTGAACTCTCACAGAGCGTGTCAAGAGCTGCCACAGCAGTCCAGTCCTTTTGGCAAGTGGTGAGATTGATCGATGTCAAATCGTCATCTAATCTCTATTTGATTATCATGTCATCCAAATCTAATCTGTGGCATCGTCACTCTCTTACTACCAATGACATCAGCTCACTCCATGGCTCCCAGTCTGCATGCTCAGGTCTGTCAAAAGGCTCGCGCAAGGAACTGAATGTCCGCCATGAGACTTGGTCTCCCGCTTGTGCGAAGTGCAAATACATTGACTGGAATAATACAAGAATTGTACAAAGTTATTATCGAAGAGTTCAAGAGCTCGCAAGGTCATTCGTGGGTCGCTGGGTTCCTTGTTGCCGTCCTGTACCTACAGAGAAATCATGCTGTTCTCTGGAAGTCGCGATCAGGGCCGTGCAGACGAACGACAGCCCGCTGGATCGTACCGGTCAAGATGCGGCAGCTGCCTCATCATGCGTTGGACGATGTGTCCGACTACTTCATAGCCTTTTCCACACTTTGCTCACGCGTCCTCGGATGCCGCCGTGACCTTGGAACTGGATCTCACATGCACTGCACAAAGTAATGGATGCTGGAGACTCACCATGACTGCTTTCGCTCGTTCTCGGTTTGGGAGTGTCTGGTGCGCCGTCCCTGGCATCGCGGCTGTCCTCCAGCCCAGGCGGTGTCGTGTGCGGGGCTCCTCGAGTTTGCGACGGACGTTATCACACTGCCTGAGCGTGTATTCGTAGAGCTGTCGGGAGTACTGTGCTTGCTTCTGTTCTAGAGTCATGGTTCTTGCGGCGTTCCAACGCGGCCTGCAGGAGAGTTATATATGTTTGAGTTTTCGCCCAGTTTCGTCATTGTGGACTGGGTGGGACCCCTGGACGAGATAATGTCGTCACGGGTGGAGTTGGGCGCGAATAAACAAACATTAATTAATGCGGTACAAATCAAGAGCTAGAAATATAAGATAGTACTGGTAGTCGATACAGAGTTTCTTGTGAGTGTGATTTCATCATGGCCAGGTCATGCATCGTCCGAGAATAGAATCGATTGCACCTCGCATGCATCAAGGATGCTGGTGCGATCGCGCCAGCTCCCGCATTCATCGTACTCCTCCAGTGTCATCATGCGCGGTGTGGCCCGCTCTAATTTCCTCTCGCAGTCCCGTAGCCAGTCCGCAAGCGTGTTGGAGTTGGATGACTCGCACGAAACCGCAGGCGAGGGCAAGGGCGGAAGAATCAGTCCTCTCGGCGACTCCCGTGGTGGCACGGCAGTCTCGACAGGCCTCCCCGGCTCTGTGCGCTTGAAAACTTTTTTCACGCGTCGAGCACCCTGTCTCATCGACTTCCTGAGATGCTTCAAGCTCTTCGATAATCGAAGAAAGCGCGGACGCGCCGTGGGGCTGGGGCTGGGCGTGTCGTCTACGTCCCACGGCTCCGGTGCCCGCGCCCCGCTGCGAGAATATGGGCGCGAGTACGCCGAGAAACGTGATGTGGCAGCAGAGGTAGGCGTCATCGGGCGCAGAATCGTTCGTCGGACGGGAGACGACCAGGGAACGTAGGGACTGTTGTGGTGTGCTACCGACGCAGGAATGCGAATGGCAAGTGGACGCGTCGAGGGGGTGTCGGACCGCCGGGGAGGTTCAATGACTGAGATGTCGAGAGATGGTGCCAAACGAGACTCAGAATGAGCGACAGAGGCGGAAGGGCACGGTTCGGCAATGGATGCACAGCGGTTCCGTGACAAACACTCATATAGTGAGGGAACTGACAACGGCGAGGATATTGCAAGAGGAGGAATTGGCTGGAAAGGTGTACATGGGCGTGAGAGGTCGAGAGAAATGTTGACAGAAGCCGACTGGTTGTCTGGATTGCAGTTCATATGCGGTGTCACTGTGAGTGCGATATCCCCCGTGAAACTGGTTGTCGGTCGCAGAGGCGTTTTGCCTTTGCATGCCGGCAGCTTCGCCAAGTCAACACGAGCAACACATCAAGAATTCACGTCACCACGTACATTCACATTCGGAGACTTGGCGGCTAGCGGTACACGAGGACCGCTACCATGAGGGTTCAGGGCGCCGCCGCTCGCCAGCTTCGCCTCCGACTGGGTCACAACCATATATCCATCGAGTAGAGGCGAGAAAGAATGTGAGGTGGCAGTTTCCAAGTCACGGCTGAAGTGTAGAAGCATCGACTCGAGGCCAGCTCCGGAGTCGAATTCGTGAAGGGACATTACTAATGGATCTGAAGGAAGAGAATGAGAGACAAAAGCGAGAGAAGATGCGGAGAATTCCGACCGTTCAGGAAGCGTACTGCTTATGTACGGCCGCGCAAAAGAGGACAAAGACAAAAGCCCAAGATGGCACAATGCAGGAGCACGAGGCGCGTCTATCACTTGTCAATTGAGTGATGTCGCGTTTGTGACTGACCGTCGTTGCCTCATTTAATTCTCAGACGTGAATGTTGGGATCGAGGAACACTCTTGGTTCGAATGCGCTCCGATCATGACTTGAAACGAGTTGTGGACTCTGACCTGGAGAATGACAATAATCGACTCGATCAATATGTTTATCCGAGGTGCGACATGCGATCTAATCTAATCATCTGATCTAATCTATAGCAGCTTCCAGCTTTATGGTGTAAAAATGTGAAATGAAGGTGACAAAACGATAGAAGCAGCACACATATGCATGACTCAGTTTTCTAAGGATGACGACAATCTTCTGTTCAGTGTGTTGAACGTTAAAAGCGAGTAGAGGCCACGTGATCGATATGACTCGAGATTTTGTCGCGTTCGTATCTTCACACCTATCAACCATGTCCACCAAGACCTCACTCTGGCTACGCTGTGAAACGAAGGAGTTTGAACGGCGTGCGGCACTGACACCTACCACTGCCAAAGCTCTGATCGATGCGGGATTCGACATCTCCGTAGAACGTGACGAACAGCGGATTTTTGACGATTCTGAATACGAAGCGTGCGTTTTGGAAAGAGCGGTTTTCACTCATCGGAGTCTCATATCCTCATAGTGTTGGCTGTACCATGGTTGCAAACAACTCGTGGCCTTCGGCTCCAGCGACCACGACCATCATCGGATTGAAGGAGCTCGAGGAATCGACTGACCCTCTTCCCCACACTCACATCCAATTCGCACACTGCTATAAGAACCAAGCTGGCTGGTCTGCCGTCTTGTCTCGGTTCCATCGCGGCGGGGGCACGCTCTATGACCTCGAATTCCTGAATGACGCGAGCGGCCGCCGTGTCGCTGCGTTTGGCTTCCACGCAGGTTTCGCAGGCGCCGCTGCTGGTGCGCTCGCACTTGCTGCTCAGAAGAAGGGCGAAATCTTGGGCCAGCTCGAGCCGTTCGTGGATGAACACGCGATGATATCTCATGTGAAGAGTGTTTTGGGAGGTAGTGGTAAGGGAACCAAAGCATTGGTCATTGGTGCGTTAGGCCGATGCGGACGGGGTGCGGTTGATCTTCTCAGGAAGATTGGTCTAGACGAGTGGGGTTCCAATAAAACACGGCGACCTGATCGCTTACCCGCTTATTAGGGATGATATCCTCAAGTGGGACATGGCAGAGACGGCCAAAGGGGGACCGTTCGATGAGCTCATGGACGTGGATATCTTTGTCAACTGCATCTACCTCAGCAGCAAGATCGCGCCCTTCATGACTCGTGAGCAGGCTATGGCTGCAGGGGCTGGCCGAAGATTGTCGGTCGTGGTCGATGTCAGCTGTGACACGACCAACCCGTTCAACCCGATTCCGATCTACAGCATCAACACCACCTTCTCCAAGCCCACCGTTCCAGTTGATGTAGAGTGAGTCCAAGCGTCGCGTGTGAAGGTTGGTTGGTGAACTGATATGATCCACAGACCGAATCCTCCACTATCTGTGATTTCTATTGATCATCTCCCCACCCTTCTTCCGAGGGAAGCGTCGGAGCAGTTCAGTCAAGATCTTTTGCCCTCGTTACTCGAATTCCCCGAAAGACACACCGCCCGTGTCTGGACGGACGCGGAGAGGCTGTTCCGAGAAAAGCTTGCTGCCGCAGCATCAGTCGAGGGCCTCTAGTTCCAAGCCGCTCGCGCACTAGACAAAAATGTTAATAGAATGAGGGGCCAGGCAGGGGCCCGCTGTAGTACCAAAACAATCTCTTGACCGTCGCGAAGAGATCTACATACTGGAGACAAGATGTTGATCAGTCGGGATTTTCTGATCTTGTCGTGTGCAGACTGCGGTCGGAAACGCATGACCAGGCTGTGGAAGAATGACTATGTCGAATTGATCTGAAGCCCGTGTCGGCCCGGGCGCATCCACGGTACGGAATATCCTCCTGTCCCGGTCTGCTAAACCGATAATTCACGGCCGACTCGATCGATGATATGAGTAGAGATGTGAGTGATTGCTATGGCCAAGAATTCTCCAGGTTCAAGGGCTCTGCCACGACTGACAGTAGACTACGTAGATCATCTAGGTTGTCAAGAGACAGGCGTGCCAACCGAGTCAGTGATCCGTGAACACGGTCATAACAGGCGGTCGCCCTGGGGCCAGCCTTCAGGCTTTCTTTCTTTCCAGCTAGTCTGCCGTGGGTTTTCTCGTTCTCCTTTAACTGGTCTCTCCTCTCTGCTTTCCTCTTCTCCTTCGCCAGTGCAGCTCACTCAAGAATTACATTGGTGCCGGACGCCGCCTGCTCGTTTTTATGCATATCATCACATCCCCCGTTCCCGCCATCTCCATTTCTTTTGTCACTGAAGACGTTTCTCCGGAGGAGCCGAAATCTCCCTTCTCTTGGACCTCTTCACCCATCGACGAAGACGATGATGGCTTCCGTCCTCGTCTCCTCACCCCACCGCCGACCAGCAGTCCACGATCTGTGAAGCCACTCTCACCACTCCGGCCTGTCAATGCCGAAGCTCCCGCAGGCAAAGGCTTGGAACGCGAGCGGTTCGAAGCCCTGCTCCAAGCATCCAAGGAGAGGAACTCTGTAGTGGGAGGCACTCGGAAAATCAACGATCTCCGCAAAGAGATCGCTCTGAAGGTCCACAACAAGAAGCAGGTGGAACGTCGCGCGTTGTTCCTCTCAAAGGTCCTCGCGCCACCGTCGCCGACCGCGACCTTGTTGCCCAAGACCCCTCCCGAATCTCCAGCCATTTTCAACTACGTTCGTACCCCATCGTTTGTGCGGCAACTGCATCCAACTGATTCTTATACAGACGTTGCCTTCTCCTGGCCTAGTCTCGCCTCTCGCCCTGTTCGATTCTTTGAACGACGACCCTGCTTTCGGTCCACTCTCGAAACGAGAGTGTTGGGTTGAGCAAGTCGATTTCCGCCTTCCGGAGAAAGCCAAGGTCAAAGACGTGGAATCCGTCCACGCCCGCAAAGCGAAGCCGCTCCCTTCGCTCGACCAAATCTCGGCTCGCATGGCTGGTCATGCCCACGTGCATATCAATGCCAGCAGTGAAAGGAAGCCGCGGCTGCCGGCGTTCCTGGTCCAGGCGCGGCCCAGTGTGCCGCGTCTGACGACCAGCGTGGGGCGGCTTCAGTTGCCGGTTCGCCGGGAGCCTGCCATCCCTCTCTCGCCCTCGTATCCGCTGTCTCCTAAATTGCAGGTGACAACATTGGTTGTGCCGCGGTCATCGTCGACGTCACCCGTTGAGCTGACGGAGATGAACCTGAACACTCTCAACTCTCGCGAGAAGCGCGCCAAGGATATGCTCTCGGCCCTGAAGAGACGCACGGAGCACTCAGCAGCGCCGCTCCAGGCACCGTCAGAGCTCAGACACTGGAAACGACGCAGCGCTCCCGCTGAGCTGAGCCCGCGCGCGCGGACTGGCTTCGAGCATCCCGTGCTTTGCATGCCTGGTGGCTTCTAGAAGCCGCCCAGCCACAAGTCCCCAGGATCCCAAGATTCAAATCAAAGTCAAATTTCGAACAATGGTGTATGTATGATAAGCTGTGCATTAGAGACTGTTAACTTAGGACGTCGACCAAGGTTGGCTGCGCCGCCTCTACTTACCATAACCCTCACACTCGTTTACTCAATCCCAGGCTGAGCCTTTCGATTATCCCCAGAAACACCATATCTTGTGGGCTGTGCCCGTCGTACACACAAATACGTATCAGTCCCAGGACTGAACTTGCTGGAAACGGCCTAATGAAATCCGCTCGTCGTCGACTGGCCGCTCGGGATTCGGTGGATGACCGCGCAGACGTGCGAGAACTTGGTATCGTCGAGCTGCAGCAGATCAGTAGTGCACAGCGCTTGAATCGAGTAAATTACAGTATTCGATCTGGGCGTACTCATCAGGACTTTCATCGTCAGAGTCTCGCAGTGGATCGTAGGTCATGATCGATTTCCACGCATCTGGAGCGAACGAATCAGTATCAGTGAGACGTCGCTATGAGAGCCAGGAGACTGACGATCTATCATGGAGCGCTCCCCAGCTGGAGATGCAATTGGGCCAATCGGTGCAGGCATCAGAGATTGCGGGTGGGCCACAGCGGCGCCGGACTGGGGCACATAGTACATGAACGATGTCGACGGCTCCTTCGGCATCTCCGCGATAAACGACTTTGGTCGACGCGGAGCAAAGCGGTCTTCTGGCATGGCTGGAAAGACTGGTTGATAAATGGACCAGAGGTCAAAGCACGGAGGACCAACATGGAACGAATTGGGGCGCTGCCACCGGCTTGTTCTTCTTGTCACTCTCGGACGCCATTATGAGCTTGGTCAGAAACGTGTTTCGAGCGCCTGTCGGAAATTCAGGATTGAAACAGGCATCTGCTGGCAAACTGACTTGACATGGTGATGCCCCATTCCTTTTCTTCGTCGGTATCAACGTTCTCTCGGGCTGCATCTGCGGGAAGAAGGTTGCGAATGAGAGGCGCTCTCCCATGATATCTACGCGCGTAGTCGTCTTCGTAAGGATTCTTGTGAGGGCCTTCTAGGTAGTAGTACATGAGCCAAAGAAACGCTCTGGCTCGATCCAGCGATGATTGCGGCTTGGGCAGGAAGAGATCGAGGAAGTTCATCAGCCCTTCGAAGTGCACGGCCGCCAAGGGCTTACGGAAAATCAATGGGATGGAAGGAAAGACGATGACAGAGCTCACCGCTGCATGATTGGATAGAACGAAGATAAGGTTGACCACACTGGTTGGAGGGCGCAAGCCTGCTTTCTGTGAACCGAGATGAGCAAGCACAGACGCAGAACACAGTTCGCGCACCCATTTCGCAAGAATATCTTCCGGGGTCGATGGTGGCACAGATTTGAATTCAGAGGGTAAAAGTGCAGCCTTTAGACAGTTCTTTATTCGTGGGGCATCCTGCGCATTTCCATCGGTCTTTTGGAGACAGGGAACTGGATGATATGTTCTCAACGCGGTCTTCACTATACTAAGGTGAGTTTGGTGAAGCGGAATAACAGCTGGGAAACTGACTTTCGGGGAAAACTGAATGCGCTTCTGTCAGCGGGCGGGAGCGCGGAGAGGACGATATAGAGCTCACAGGCCATAGTGGTGTTAATTCTGCCCACGTTCGTCAGCAGCGAAATCTTAGCTAATTCAATAGCAAAGGCAGGTGTTTCGACCATCTTGTCCTTGAGGACCTTGGAGCATTTGCTCGAGTTGTATATGGCATGGATATACAGTTCGCGGAAGCAACACTTCTTGCCAGGGGTGGGGTGGTGAAAAACAGCCTGTTCGTCTTCGAAGATGTACCGGAGTAGATCTGAGGTCGGCGGAGATGCGGTTTATCGCGAGATGTAGGTGACAGGCGCGCGCACCATATTGGACATCCTCTCGCGTCAGAGCCTCCGCATCGTTACGCTTGATCGGAAGAGCCTTTCTGCTGAGATATCCCGCGCTGTTTGAAAGACACGATTTAATGACACCCGAAGCACAGAGCCAGGCGTATACTTGCGGTGGGATTGGTTCAGGTGCAGGCAGTGGCCAAGACGGTGGTCCAGCAGAGGCGGAGGCAGGTGACGTTGCACTCATATTTCTTGGTCTCGTGGATAAAATACCGTTGCGAATGAAGGAAGATTTTGGAACGATTTGGAAGGAGTGGGCACGTAGTGGGTGCGCAAGTGCTAAGTACTACGGTGCGTGCAATTGATCTCTAGACATGATCGAGATCATTGATCGGGGACATGTCTCATGGCACGTGACACACTCCCTCTGCTTCCGCATCTCTACGTACCAATGGCCGACAAATTTGACGAGGCTACTCAAGTACGCTTTCAGCACTCTCTCTCCAGACTTATTCAAGAGTTCTCTTAGAAAGAACTTTCTTCTTTCTTGGAGAGGCAACAAGTCGAAGCGCGTCTCCACTCATCCATCCAGACTTTCACCGACACATGCTGGGACAAGTACATTGTCTCGTAACTTCCGCTCGCACGGGCATCTAAATGGACGGACAGGTGCATAACTGGAGCTCCATCCACCCGGTTTTCGCGTTCAGAAGAGAGTTGCCTGTAAGTAGTGGTCTCATACGGAGGAACCGTTCTCATACTTTCCCAGGGCCAATTGCGTTGAAAGGTTCGGAGTTGTTTCCCCCGAAGATCCTAAGCTGGCTAACTTCTGGTTTGAGATTTCTGGATACGTCACTGTGCGTTAGCAAGCATACGATCCCGAGCTTTCCCAACTTACACTATTTCCAGGTTCATGGTGAAAAAGATCGAGGACCAGCGAGCTGCATTACAAGGAGGAAACAACGGGTCTATCTAACAACGTTAACGGGTCCGAATATTACAAGTACCGTATCACCGGGAGATCATCGCCTCCCAACTAGTCTTTCTGCCAAATGGGCCAACACTGCGACGGGAAAGAAGCCCACTGCATCGAAGATTTCTCGTTTCCGGCGTAACCTGAGCGGGATGGCGAAACTGGACTGCGCAAACGAAGCCTTGTCGAACCATCGGGTGATGCTCAGGTCTTTCTCCTTCCACAGCGCTCGCAGCCATGCATCGAACACGGCCTTCTCTGTCTCCGGGATATCCACCTCAGCGGAGGATTTAGGAGTGGCACCTGGGCTGGACACTGTCCGTGCTAGATCGCCTACAGGGACCTCGGTCGCCACATCGAACAGTCGCAGATGGAAATGGATCGCCGGCGGTGGAACGCCGTGAAAGAATATTGAGCGCAAGGTATAGTATTGTTGCCCATATCCCAGCGGTGGTATGCCTGGTTTATTGAGCCATGTCGAGAAAGACGACAGACAGAGGCCACTCACCGGGATAGACTGTGGTTATGTCCAACAGTTTCAAATCTGGAATGCGGGGAGCCAGAGCTCGCAAGGTGAAGTGTAGGCCTGTGGACCTAGGCAGCAGGACGTTCGACATGTCATCCTAGCATTTCTCATCAGCACCGTCAGCCCAAGCGAATTCAGCAAAGCTCACAATTCCCATTTTATCGGCAAACTTCTTGCTGATAGGCCTCGTGTTCGGTGATACGACAGTGCCTTCGGGATATAGGAAGAAGACGAAAGGTCGTTGTTCACGTTCTGCAATCTTGCCCAAGGCCGCCAGATGCGTGGAGAGCTGCACACGATCGTAGACCCATGAACGGGCAAGGAAGATGAAGTTGTAGAATCGCATCGCCCAGCCTAATATCGGAAGCCACTGAAAAGATGAGAATATACTCAGCGTGTAGTGACTGTGCTTACTTGTAGACTCTTCTTCAGCGCAATGTAAACGGAATCGTGTATTCCGTGATTCCCGATGTAATACGTCAGTGTCCAGGCGTACAGCCAGTCTGCGTACACCTGGAGAAGGTGAGGATCTAGGCGGTTAAGCGGGAACCATGACGCATACTTGATGATTGGCAATGAGGATGAATCGGTTGGGAAGATCGAGGGCGACTACGTTTCCTGAGTCATCCTTCACGACGATTCGCTCGATTTCTTCATCTGTGAACCTTCCCGTCCCGTCCCGCTCGAATGTGATGATTAGCTTGGTCGGGGCGAACCACTGATTCATGAGAACTGAAGGCACGGGGATCAGCGGGCCAGCTCGGTCGTTCGCGGGTGGGAATCTTACTGAGGAGACAGCAGAACGAGCTCTTGGTGTACCGAACACCAGCAGAGTACAATCGGGACGACCATGCGAAAGGCAGTATGGCTAGTGGGAGCAGGAACAAGATTTGGGTAGCATTGATCTAGTCACGCTGCAATCGAAGAAGGTCCGAGATCGGTGGAGGCAGTGCGTACCAGCAAGCAGCCTAGGGTGAATACCACACCAGCCCCGAGCGCGAGGCATCTCCGGGCCCAGCTTAGCTTGGTCGTCCGAGACGATATGGGGATGGAATAATCGGAGACCATGTTGACGTCAGACGCAAGGCAGCTCGAGCGCTCTCGCGCTCATGTGCGGCAATCACATGTGATAGATATATTACACCGTCGTGGATGAGTCAAACGTGCTGACTATGGAATGCACATGACCTAACAAGTAAACGGTTTGCCCACCAGATTGCTCTTGTATGCATCGTCGATGAGCTGCGCGGGGGGATTCAATACATAAGAGACAGTTGTCGGGCCTGCACTTTCCTTGATGGACACGAATGTCCCTGCTACACAGATAAACGCACCAGCCACGACTGTGAAGACAGCAAGGGCTGCTTGCGCGGGCTGCTTTCGGAACGATGCCCACCCGCCTTTCAAATGGTATGCGTCGTGGATCCAGAAGAATCCCGCAATCCCATAAGTGTACCACGAAGCAAACAGGGACGCGGCGATCCCTAGAATGAGATTGGTCAGCACATCCGCTGCGACCCTTCGATGTCTCCCTGCTGACCGATGAGATATGAGAAGATAGGCACGGAAATAGCAAAAACGTATGCTATGGCAACAGCTGCAAGGCACAGCGATGTCCAAGCTATCCATCCAACCAGGGTGTGCTTATATACGTGTCGGGTGTTCCTGAAATATCGGATGAAAACGACCTTGGCGGCGGTGTGCGAGTAGAGCCCTCCAGCTCTGCCGGGCAACTTCAGAGGCTGCATTCGTTTCGGCAGCACGCACCAACACACATCAGAAAATTCCGATTGCAATGCCAAAAGTGACTTTGGACCAGACTGGAGGCAAGGAAAAAAGGGCGGGGGAGGCCACCGTATTTCCAACAAACACATAGCTAAAACCGTAAAAAGGACCGCAAGCATTTTCAATAAAAAGAACATACGCACATGACTACGGCGAAAATTATGTAAAACAATGTCGAGAATGTTTGCAGACACCAAGCGGCCTCGGGAACTCATGGGTATCCCAGAGTGGAAGGAAATCTGAGGAAACGAACCTTCATAGCATCCTCAGGTCTCCTCATTTCAGAGATGAGAATAAAGAACCTTCGGAATTCATTAGATTGCGCCAGTTGCATGGGATCAAGCTTACATGAAATGTCCTAAACTAAGCTTGGCAGGAGCACGAGGAAATAGCAAGACTCAAAACTTGCCTGCATACGCAAAAACCTGGGAGAGAGTGAGAATGTGGCACCACTGAACGGTACAATCACGAACTGGATTAGTAATGGCCAGAAAAGCCTGGTAGAAGGAGGTCGACACAACGGCACTCAGAACTCGATCGGGAACAGGATTCGCGCCAGCACCGATCATGGCAACGAGCCCCGATATTGTGATGATACAGGCGCTGAAGAGACCAAGCCAGCTCACGCGGTCCAGTGTTCGGGGCAGAGCAACCAAAAGTGTCGCCACTGCAAAGATCAGAAGCAGAAACTCGGAAGGACAGCCTCCCCTAAGCAGTTTCCCGATTAGGCCACTTCGGCACTCCGGCTGATAAAACGGCTCTTGATGCGTTGACAATTTCGATCAATCTTCCTTCAAGTGCGAACTCGAGCGAATCCATTTTTTATTGGTGTCTACATATAAGTACTTCGCCATAACAATGATACATTTATTCAATGTACACTATGCGAATTCTTTCTTTTCTGTCTTTTCTCAGGGGAAATGTGACAATCAACCCAAAAACAAAGTCGAAAAGAGAAGTAAATTCGAAGACTGGAGAATACAACCAAGTAGCTACAGTATTTATACCCAAATCCAGTCTGAGTCATATCTACAACTAATGAGTCATAGGGCTATGTACCGCATGGGACGCTGGTCATGGGTCGTAGTAGAACCTTCTGGAGCATATGTCGCGCAGCCTCGAATCGATGAAGATAATCCCTGAAACCCCTAGTCCGGACCGTCTGATGCCGTGATCCGTGATAAGATAAGATCGTCGATGATAAGATGAAAAAGTGGCCGAACTATGACATTACCCCCTCTCTAGGGTCGATGTCCTCATCGACCAGGCCAATGGGTAAGAAGACGTTCTTGTAAGGGTCGAAGAGCTGTCGTTGGGGGTATGGAAGGCGCTCGTCCCTGGGCTGGTAGCGATGAATGAGATAGTCCCAGTGTCCAGCTTCGAGCGTTGGCAGGAGGCGAATGCGTGTGTCTGGATTTGATTGTTTCCTCTGCCAGTCTCTCAGGACGTCCTTTGCGTGGGTAAGGTGACGTGATGGTTCCCAGGTGTTCTCGCTGTGCGGCCATCCCTTCCATTTGACCAAGTACTGTTTTCCTCGGCCGACTTTTCGCTCTTTCACGATTTCTTCGACTTCCCACTCCTCTGCTCCTCCGATCATCTTGGCCACGGGTCTCTTCTCTCGGCGATGGGGGGGTGGTTCGTGATAGGGTGTCAACAGTGACTCGTTGAACACCGGGTGTCTTCGGTCCGTGTCCGGCAAATCCAGCTTCCATGCGGCCGCTCCAACCTTCTCCAGTATCTCGTATGGTCCCAATCTCTTGTCGCTCATCTTCTTTGATGGTCTATCCGTCTCGATATTTTCCCCTTCTATGTACACCTTCATCCCAACCTTCAACTCCGGAACTTCTTTTCTTTGTTTATCGTAGTATTTTTTCATTTTTTCTTTTGCTTTTTCCAATGCTGCTTTTGCTTCGTCTTGTATTTCTTTGATTCTTTTTACAAATTCCTCCGCCGACTCGTTCCTTGATTCCATCCGCTGCTCCACTCCCTTCCATGGGTGATATCCGTGATTAGCATAGAACGGCGACATTTTGGTAGACGTGTTCATTTTGTCGTTGTATGCGAACTCCGCCATTCCCAGCCACTCCGACCAGTCCGTCTGATGGTAGTTGACGTAAATGCGGAGATAGTGTTCGATCTCCTGATTCATACGCTCCGTCTGCCCATCCGTGATGGGGTGATATGCGGTCCCCGGATTCATTTCCACGCCCAACATCCGATTCGTTTCCTTCATAAAGCCCTTGATGTATCGAGAGTCCCTGTCAGTGATGATTTTGCGGGGGACCCCGTGATAGCGGAAGATTCGGTCCCTGGTTAATCGTGCTACTCCTTCGCTGCTGATGTCAGTACTAATTGGTTCGACATGGATCATTTTGGTGAAGGTGTCACACCACACATGAATTGCGTCATACCCGTTACTGACCGGCAGGGGTCCGATCTGATCCATGGAGATGATTTCCCACGGCGCGTTTGGAACTGCATGCGGGTGCAAACTCCCTGTCCTGGCTCTTCTGGTCTTGGTCCGCTGGCACGCTTCGCACGTCTGGATGTATTTCCGAATTTGGTTTCCCATCCTTGGCCACCAGTAGTTCCTTTCCACCATCTCCTGCGTTCGGTTGATCCCGGCGTGTCCGACCAAAGGGGTGTCGTGGTGTAGTCCGATGATTTTGTCCCGCAACTCCTCGTCCCTTGGTACGTAGAGCTTCCCATGGTACGTGATAAGCCCCTCTTCCTTCTTCCATCCGGCGAGTGACTTCTCTAAGGCCGCCTTGACGCTTCCATCAATTGATCGAATGGCCTTGATTTCGTCGATTAGCTGCTGATCCTGTCCCTCGAATGTGACTTCTTGTGATCGGAAGAACTCGGGCTTCAGTAGCGTGACATCCTTGTTGTCGTTCTTGCCCTGATTGTGATCCGCTCGTCGAGACAGGAGATCCGCCTTGCGGTTGAGTGCACCGGGTCGGTGTCGTAAGGTGAAATCGAACTCCGCCAACTCCGTGATCCATCGTGCTTGCCGTCTATTGAGCTTCTGCGGCTTCCGAAAGTACTTGAGATTCTGATGATCGGTGAAGATCTCGAACGTTTCCGTGGCTCCCAGGAGCAACTGCCTCCATTCGTCAAGTGATAACATGATTGCGAGCATCTCCTTGTCGTAGATCTCATAATTTCGCTCGGTTTCGGTCAAAGCGTGCGAAATAAATGCGATTGGGCGCCAAATGCCGTCTTGGTTTTGGCTCAAAACTGATCCTGTTGCCCCTTCCGAAGCATCGGCTTCCAGACGATATTGGCCAGTGTCATTTGGCAGTGCTAAGACGGCATCCTCCGCGATTCTCTTCTTTAACCCATCAAACGCCGCATGTTCATCCGGACCCCATGACCATCCTGCCTTCCCTGTCAGCCGCGTCAACGGCTTGGCGACCTCCGCATATCCCCGAACGAAACGTCGATAGAAGTTTGTGAATCCGAGGAAGGCTTGGACTTGTTTGACGCTCTTTGGTTCCGGCCATTCCATCACGCCCTTGATCTTGACAGGGTCCATCCGCATCGAGTTGTGTCCAATGATTACACCCAGGTATTCGATTTCCGTGCGTTCGAACTCGCACTTTTCCGGCTTCAGGTATAATTTGTGCTTTTGGAGCAACTCGAGTACCCGTTTGGTGATTCGTCGATGTTCATCCAGATTTTCTGTGAAGATTAGTATGTCGTCCAGATAAACTACCACATGTCCCTCGTTGATCAGTTCCCGGAGTATGTCGTTCATCATGTTTTGGAAAGTTGCCGGGGAATTTGTGAGACCAAAGAACATAACCAAGGGCTCGTAAAGTCCGCGGTTTGTGCGAAACGCAGCCTTCCACTCATCGCCCTCTTTGATCCGTACGTTGTTGTATCCCCACCGGATGTCTAGCTTGGTGAAGAACTTGGCGCCGCACAGGTTGTGGACCAGTTCGGAAATCAGCGGTAGCGGGTACCGATTTCGGATCGTCATCTCATTCAGCTTCCGGTAATCTTGAACAGGCCGTAGCGAGCCATCCTTCTTCTTGACAAAGAAGAATGCCGATGCCATGGGTGATTTTGATGGCCTGATTCGTCCGCTGGCTAGGTTCTCTTGTAAGAACTCGTCGAGTTTGACCTGTTCGTTTCTCGATAAGGGGTACACCTTGCAGTCCACTGCTTTGGAGCCTGGTTTGAGCTCGATCGCATGATCCCATGCCCGTCGGTCCGGTAGCGAGTCGAATGATTCCTTGGCGAATACTTTGACGAATTCTCGGTATTGATCTGGAATCTTTCCCTCGGTCATTCTCTCCTTCTCCTTTTCCGCTTCTTCTGCGAATTTCTGCGCCGGCGTTTCCTTCAGCCGTAGGTCTACCTCCTTTCCAAAGTCGATCAACAAGATCGATTCTCCCTCTTCCAGATCCGGTGCACCCGCGTCCGGGTCAATTGCATCCATGTCGATCATCGCTTGGTGCTCCTCGTGACCCCTCATTTGACATTGCTCTGGGCATCGGCTGAATCTCATTGTCTGCTCCTGCCAATCCACCTCGGGGTTGTGTTCCGTCAGCCAATCCAGGCCGATGAAGATCCGGGCTTTTCCTAGACACGTCAGAAGGAACGTGCGTGTCTCCACATGAGGACCGATTCTCATTCTCAAGTCGACGTAGTGTGTGATCCGACCGCTGATGTTCTCGGTGTTGTCGGCGTTACGAGCCACAATGGGTTGCGGAAGCTCTTGGATATCCAGCTTTTCTGCCCGTGCGTAGTCAGTGTCGATGCAGCAGGTACTGCAGCCACTATCGAGCAGCGCCTTGACTCCACGCGTTTTCCCTGAGTCCAGGCCCGTGATCTGGACATATACGTCCATCGAATGCCTCTTTCTTTCGGCTTGGTAACTGCGCAATTCCTGCGCCAATCTGCTGGGCTGGGGGCCCTTCTGTTTCTCGGTCGCCAATTTCCTCTGGATGGCATCTGGCACCCTGGTGCGTTTGGGTGCTTCTGGAACCTCGATTTTGGCAGATTCCTTGGGCGCTTCCTCCTTTTCCAAGGATCGAGCCTTTGGAGCGATGCTCCCCTTTTCGGTCTTTGTTGACGTGGTTCCTTCTCCACGAGCCATAAATACGTAGGAGTCCAAAAATAATTTATCTGCAGCTTTCTGATTCTTTTTATCTTGTAAGTATTTTCTATTTAGAGCTATCTTTTCCTGGCGTTCTTTTTCCATCTCGGCAATAAGAAAATCGTGAATATTTGTACGTAGTGAGTCTGAGATCGTGTATGTAGATGAAATATTGTCCGTATCTTTAATCGAAACAAGTACAGAAAATTGTCCATAGTCCGGACGCTCCACCTCCTTGGCTAGAGGAGTGGAGCGCTTCAAAAACCCTTCTCGCGCAGCTTCTCGGCAATCTCCTTCAGGAACTCGTTGTCCTTGTCCCCGTTCTCGATTTCTTCCAGCATTGTGGCCCGATTGAAGAACGTGCGCTTCTTCTTGGGCTCCGGGCAGTTCCGCGCAATGTGCCCGGGCTGCTGACAGTTGTAGCAGATGATATTGCGGCCGCGGGCGTGGGTACGATCAATTTCCATCGGAACCGGTTCGTTGGCAGCGGGTCGGGCCGGAGCGGGTGTGGGCGCCACTGGTGCCGTTTGGGGACGGAACTGGGGAGGTGGTCGTTGTGTGGGGTGCCCATACGACGCTTTGCGCAGCTGGTCACGCAGAGCATTGGCTTCGATGTTGATGCACCAGGCTTTGAACGCTCCATAGGCCTTGGGCAGAGGGACACCGGTGTTGTAGAGACGGCTGGCGATCTCGCTGCTGAGTCCGCGCTCCAGGAACTCGATGAGGATATTATCCTGGTCCCCCTTCTTGTATTCGCCTTTGTCGTCGGTGGTGTCAACCACATTGTAGCCTGCATCCGCGGCCAACATCTCAAAGTCGGAGATGTAGTCCGCGAAGGATCGTTTGTTTTGACGCAGGGCCATAAGCCGAGCAGCGGCGACTTGTTCCGCATTGGAGTCCCCGAACGCCCCCTGAAACTCCTCCAGGAAGTTCTTTGATGTGACTCCTGCCTTCAGTCCCTGGAAGCCATCGAAGTTGTGCTGCTTCCAGTTCATCGCCCATCTCGAGGCAGCGCAGCTCGTGCCGTTCTCGTTACGGAGGTAGGAGAGGACAAAGAGGATTTTGGTCTCATCTTGTGAGAACTCCGATCGATAGGCACCGATGTAAGTGGTGCACGCGTCCACAAAGCCCAGGTATTTGGACTTGTCGCCATCGAAGTAGGGGGGGTTGGCGGCGAGGGTGATGCGGTGATGCCCTGACATGGTAGGGGCAGGCGTGTGAGGTGGAGGCGAGGGTGGTTGTTCGGAGGGCAGTTCGTCGAGGTCGGGGATCTCGTCTTCGGGCGGTGGGAGGGCGAGGTAGGGGTCGGAGGGCCCGGGTTGGTTTTGATGCGCCAGATCGGGCGACGATGGTACGATGGGGGGAGGGGATGGACTCCCAGACGACGATGGGAATCGGTACGAAATGGTGGATTCGTGTGCTGTACAAGCACTCGAGGAAAGGTTCTTTTGCTAGCAAAAAGATCCCGGGCCTAGCTCTTCACGTGCCCGATGATCCCAAGGTGCGTTTTCCCGAAGGTCTCCGCAGCACTCCTTGTAGCTACCGTAAGGCTTGGGTCGGGCTCAACGTTACCCGTGGCCTGGTGCTGTTTGCTTGATATGAACCCTTCACTGCGATAGTGGAGGACGACTAGATGATTCGGTAAAAGGGTGAGTGGGGTGATAAGGGTTAAGAGGATATAGCGGGCGTAGCGGTGCAAGATGCAGGGTAAGAGGTATGAGGTAGGAGGGTATGAGGGGAGTCTTCGAATTATGTGACAATCAACCCAAAAACAAAGTCGAAAAGAGAAGTAAATTCGAAGACTGGAGAATACAACCAAGTAGCTACAGTATTTATACCCAAATCCAGTCTGAGTCATATCTACAACTAATGAGTCATAGGGCTATGTACCGCATGGGACGCTGGTCATGGGTCGTAGTAGAACCTTCTGGAGCATATGTCGCGCAGCCTCGAATCGATGAAGATAATCCCTGAAACCCCTAGTCCGGACCGTCTGATGCCGTGATCCGTGATAAGATAAGATCGTCGATGATAAGATGAAAAAGTGGCCGAACTATGACAGGAAATAGGAACCAATAAATGTTGTGTCTTCCTCTTGATCCCTTGAGTCCTGGGTGGCGCGGAGCGTGAAAGATCATGATCAGGCTCTGAAACACGAGTAATCTGTTGATCTTCTCCTTTGGCAGGAAGTGTTCGCAAACGCTCCATCTCAGCACCAGTTGATTTGAACTCTGAAAGGATCTCATCAAGCATAGCCTGCTGAGACTCAGTCACGCCCATCGTCCTCTTTTGCAAGCCGACTTTGAGTTGCCGCAGTTGCGATCGGATCCCTGACAGCTCGAATAATGTACGAGCTAGACTTTGCTCACTGAGAGCAGTCTGATTCTCAGTCCGCTGCGGCGCATCATAGTCTATTGACTCCGAGTCTAAATCAGAATCATCAGGATCATGATCAGACTCATCATCGTCACTGACATCTTCGACAGCTCCATACATGTCTTCGACATTCTTGTCGTCGTTTGTCAGTTCATCGAGCTTCGCGGCCGCCTTGCTCGTTGGTAGGCGTATCTTGATGGTCAGAAGCTCCCTTGCTTGCAACTTCAGAGCCTCTTCAACGGAGCGGGGCACCGGAATATCAGGTACGAAGACCTGGTGGTCACGTCGAAGTCCATCGATGACCATTAAACCAGCTCGGATGTGCTTGCATGCGCCGCCTCTTGTCTGAAAGTCTGGGCAGTTGCAGGATACAATGCCGTTGAAACCCGCTCGAATGGTGTAGATGATCGGATTGTGGTCAATGGAGAGGGTGCGCGATGAGTATGATTTCATGGTGAGCCCGACATTTTCTGGGAGAAGCTCTGGCACGTCGAGCTGATTCGCATTCACGATCTCCTGGGCTTTGGCATCGCGCTCAGGGTCGGGCACGAGATAGGCTATGCGTGGCCGAACACGCTCATCCTGCGTTTTCCTTTGCATCTGGGCTGACAGGAGCGACGTGCCACCAGGGAGGAGGCAGATGAGTGCGGTTAACCGGTTAGTCTGATCCTGGTAGATGCGTCGCTCCTCAAAGATCGATGGCAGTATTGACATGACCAGTGCTTTGAGGAGGACATCCATGCGAAGACGACGGCCGCCTTTCTGCCAGCGCTTGAGATGACTCCCCTTCAGAACACCATTGAAGGACTCCAGATGGTTTGTCGTCGGGATCACACCATCGATTGTGCATTTCAAGATACGTGCAACGTGTGTCCGACCATAATCTGACCAGCTCTTCCAGAGGCTTTCGGTAAGCCAATAGTTGTTGAGATAGTCAAGATGGGTGAGCGCTTTTGGCACATCGTCCGGCTGTTCTGGCAGTAACGCCGTGAGCGTCATTCGCTCGTCGCTAACCAACATCTGAGCAGCTTGAAACTCGTGAGTCCGTGGAAGTGCTTGTTCCAATGCGACCATCCGTGCTCTCAAGTCATGGAGTACGGCGGTATTCCCTTTCAGGACTCTACATCGATGATTTCTCCAGGATTGACGCAAATGAAACCGACAGATCAAGAGGATGATCTCGGGGAAGACTGCCACCAAGGCGATGCGTTCCTTCATGTCGGTATCCGTGATCGCTGACACTGGCTTGAAGCTCTTTCCAGGTTTGAACTGATTCAAAGTTAATGTGACAATCAACCCAAAAACAAAGTCGAAAAGAGAAGTAAATTCGAAGACTGGAGAATACAACCAAGTAGCTACAGTATTTATACCCCAATCCAGTCTGAGTCATATCTACAACTAATGAGTCATAGGGCTATGTACCGCATGGAACGCTGGTCATGGGTCGTAGTAGAACCTTCTGGAGCATATGTCGCGCAGCCTCGAATCGATGAAGATAATCCCTGAAACCCCTAGTCCGGACCGTCTGATGCCATGATCCGTGATAAGATAAGTTGTGCCAAGATAAGATAAGATCGTCGATGATAAGATGAAAAAGTGGTCGAACTATGACATTACCCCCTCTCTAGGGTCGATGTCCTCATCGACCAGGCCAATGGGTAAGAAGACGTTCTCGTAAGGGTCGAAGAGCTGTCGTTGGGGGTATGGAAGGCGCTCGTCCCTGGGCTGGTAGCGATGAATGAGATAGTCCCAGTGTCCAGCTTCGAGCGTTGGCAGGAGGCGAATGCGTGTGTCTGGATTTGATTGTTTCCTCTGCCAGTCTCTCAGGACGTCCTTTGCGTGGGTAAGGTGACGTGATGGTTCCCAGGTGTTCTCGCTGTGCGGCCATCCCTTCCATTTGACCAAGTACTGTTTTCCTCGGCCGACTTTTCGCTCTTTCACGATTTCTTCGACTTCCCACTCCTCTGCTCCTCCGATCATCTTGGCCACGGGTCTCTTCTCTCGGCGATGGGGGGGTGGTTCGTGATAGGGTGTCAACAGTGACTCGTTGAACACCGGGTGTCTTCGGTCCGTGTCCGGCAAATCCAGCTTCCATGCGGCCGCTCCAACCTTCTCCAGTATCTCGTATGGTCCCAATCTCTTGTCGCTCATCTTCTTTGATGGTCTATCCGTCTCGATATTTTCCCCTTCTATGTACACCTTCATCCCAACCTTCAACTCCGGAACTTCTTTTCTTTGTTTATCGTAGTATTTTTTCATTTTTTCTTTTGCTTTTTCCAATGCTGCTTTTGCTTCGTCTTGTATTTCTTTGATTCTTTTTACAAATTCCTCCGCCGACTCGTTCCTTGATTCCATCCGCTGCTCCACTCCCTTCCATGGGTGATATCCGTGATTAGCATAGAACGGCGACATTTTGGTAGACGTGTTCATTTTGTCGTTGTATGCGAACTCTGCCATTCCCAGCCACTCCGACCAGTCCGTCTGATGGTAGTTGACGTAAATGCGGAGATAGTGTTCGATCTCCTGATTCATACGCTCCGTCTGCCCATCCGTGATGGGGTGATATGCGGTCCCCGGATTCATTTCCACGCCCAACATCCGATTCGTTTCCTTCATAAAGCCCTTGATGTATCGAGAGTCCCTGTCAGTGATGATTTTGCGGGGGACCCCGTGATAGCGGAAGATTCGGTCCCTGGTTAATCGTGCTACTCCTTCGCTGCTGATGTCAGTACTAATTGGTTTGACATGGATCATTTTGGTGAAGGTGTCACACCACACATGAATTGCGTCATACCCGTTACTAACCGGCAGGGGTCCGATCTGATCCATGGAGATGATTTCCCACGGCGCGTTTGGAACTGCATGCGGGTGCAAACTCCCTGTCCTGGCTCTTCTGGTCTTGGTCCGCTGGCACGCTTCGCACGTCTGGATGTATTTCCGAATTTGGTTTCCCATCCTTGGCCACCAGTAGTTCCTTTCCACCATTTCCTGCGTTCGGTTGATCCCGGCGTGTCCGACCAAAGGGGTGTCGTGGTGTAGTCCGATGATTTTGTCTCGCAACTCCTCGTTCCTTGGTACGTAGAGCTTCCCATGGTACGTGATAAGCCCCTCTTCCTTCTTCCATCCGGCGAGTGACTTCTCTAAGGCCGCCTTGACGCTTCCATCAATTGATCGAATGGCCTTGATTTCGTCGATTAGCTGCTGATCCTGTCCCTCGAATGTGACTTCTTGCGATCGGAAGAACTCGGGCTTCAGTAGCGTGACGTCCTTGTTGTCGTTCTTGCCCTGATCGTGATCTGCTCGTCGGGACAGGAGGTCCGCCTTGCGGTTGAGTGCGCCGGGTCGGTGTCGTAAGGTGAAATCGAACTCCGCCAACTCCGTGATCCATCGTGCTTGCCGTCGATTGAGCTTCTGCGGCTTCCGAAAGTACTCGAGATTCTGATGATCGGTGAAGATCTCGAACGTTTCCGTGGCTCCCAGGAGCAACTGCCTCCATTCGTCAAGTGATAACATGATTGCGAGCATCTCCTTGTCGTAGATCTCATAATTTCGCTCGGTTTCGGTCAAAGCGTGCGAAATAAATGCGATTGGGCGCCAAATGCCGTCTTGGTTTTGGCTCAAAACTGATCCTGTTGCCCCTTCCGAAGCATCGGCTTCCAGACGATATTGGCCAGTGTCATTTGGCAGTGCTAAGACGGCATCCTCCGCGATTCTCTTCTTTAACCCATCAAACGCCGCATGTTCATCCGGACCCCATGACCATCCTGCCTTCCCTGTCAGCCGCGTCAACGGCTTGGCGACCTCCGCATATCCCCGAACGAAACGT